ATGCATCGACCCCTTTAGCGCAATACGGGGTACTTTCTGAGAAAGGCGTTTTATTGCTTTTATTCATGTCACAGCCAAATTGTGTATACCGTCCGTTTGTTATCTGTCTAAGCAAATCGTTAAGATTCTCCACATTGCGTATTGAATGAATTCATTCACAAAGTTACCTGTTATATTTCTTCAAATTGTAATTATGACATTTCACTGTCATAATTAGACAGACAGACAATTTATATACACAAAAAATGCCAGCCAATAAAATGCTAACTTACAAAGTGATTAAATATAATCGAAATATAACACCATTAATTTGTAAATGAAATCTTTCGTTGTTCTACGATTTGACTAGACAAATTATAAACGAGCGGCGTACACGATTTGCCGGTGACATTCACATAAACAAAAGGCCTAAGCATTAGTTATGTGTAGTGACGAAAGACCCGACTCGCTCGCCGGACACCGACATTAATAATGTTGCCATCTTAAAAAGATTTTGCCCGACAGTGTGGAATATTTATCCTACATATACGTCCTTTGAAATATTTACCCGAGCATCGCCTTAAATAGCTATGATTTATTGATAGTAATAAGTGAGATATACATATTTTTTTATTTGTATTTCCCAACAGTAAAAGATTGCTGCGATTTATGTGGGAAAACCTTTTGTAAGTCAAAATTCTGCCTTAACTAATGTGATTTCCGAAGTTTGTTGTGTAAGTTAAATAACTAGAAATAAGGAAATATATAAAAAAATATAGCTTTTGTCATAATAAAACTTACAACTCTAACTATATAAGTGCGAAGTCAATTGCAATATTTATGGTTTAGTGGAATATAATTGACTTTTTAATGGCAACCCAGACTTCCTTTGGGCAGTGGGCAGACGGTTGCTTGAGTGACGGGGACCTCACGTGAAGCGTGACGTGCATTGTCCACGATTAGTTACGCTTCTTCCCAGTTCCCACCATTAGCGACTACAGCTTTGACTGATCGGAGTCGTTTACGAGCATACTATGTTAAATATTCAACCTATGTCGTTAACAAGTCGGTTGAAATGTAAAGGTTTTACTGCTGGCTATTTTTTTTAATGTTGTTTTTTTTATGTAGCTAAACTTGGTCAAATGATATATTTAGAAAGCTAATATGTTCAATAATAACATTATTTACTCATTGTTCTAGTATCGAAATTACTACGGACACATAAACTTAATAGCCTAATGGTTAAGGGTACGGATTGCCGATCATGAGGTCGGGGGTTCGAATCCCGCCATTCAACTATTGTCGTAAACCATATCCTAGCACAAGCCTACAGCTTAGTTGGAATGGTACAAGAAATTTAAAAAAATATTGTTGGTTATATTTTGATTTTTTTTAACAATCTTTATAGATAGTAAGAGACCTTTTTTGCAACGAATTGTGCCGCTGTGCTCATGTGTACTTATTATTCAATACATGATGTAGTGTTTATATTTCGGAGTAATGTACAAAGGCATATCAGCGGATATGACGCACGCAACTTCCTAGATCAAACGGATTGCGATTCACCGGTTTTCCTGTCCACATGGATATATGGGTCACTAGATTTGTCTTATACGTCCTGTGTAGAATGTTTGTTAATTGGAACGATTTAATAACACGATTAGTAGTAAACCTGACTGTAGTTCTATGACATTTTAAGGAAGAAGGCGAATCGAATTCGTCGATCTCAACTGCGGTAAGGAACTTATATGTAAATCTATATCCAAATATGCGCAAAAAAATTACCTTAAAGTCAGTATGGTTTATATAATTTCATTGTTATTAAAATAAATGGTATTAACTAACAGATAAAAGACAACATGAAATTCTTATACATAATTCGTGGAAAATAAGAGCTTCCAAATTATTAGTTTTTACGGATTATCCATTTGCATCCATTAACATCTGTGGCGATAGTTTTCCGCGAATCACATTCTGACATCACAAAGATACCGTTAGGATTTTGTCATGCGAATCGCGACACATTTACAAATGATATTTTATCTTTTAAAACATGCCACGTGTACCGGGAACGTGATCCCGAGGAAATGGATACAACTTTACGTCTTTTATGCGAGACGGAAGTTACAATACCTGTTTACACTAAAGAATACGCAAGATTGACTGATTGTTATGAACTTAGCTGTCGCTTGCGACTTCGACCGCGCGGAATTAAAAAAAAACTATATTACTAATAAAGTTTTTTTGTGCCTATGTGTGCTTCCAGACTATGTTTTGCCATATGCCAATTTCAGCAAGATTTATGCAGCCTTTCTGGAGATAACTTCCAACAAACATCCATCCAGCAAAACTTTCGCATTTATAATGTTAGTAAGATTATATTATAGTGACTTAGTGACAGGCACACCGTTATTTACTCATTTAATGTACATCTTATAGTAATTATACACTAAAGGCAACCCTTTGTGGAACATTAAATTAACTTTGAGTGTAGCCGTTAGATTTGTAAATTAAACTTAACATTACGTACTTGTCATAGATGTTGTTCTAAAGGTTAATCATCTTTGGCAAAAAGTTTCAAACGTTATGCGTCAAATGACGACTAAAATTAATCATGTAATATCAAATTGATGTCTAAGGTCAATTACCCTAAGTAGGTTTATCGAAATTTTCCAACCGCTTGCTGCGGTTTTTCGGCGCTAGGTGTCGCTACAAGGTCACAGGTCAATGAACCAAGGTCGTTGATGTCTGAGTTCATTTCAGGGCACTAAGGGTGAAACTAAAAGGTAAAGGAAGCCTTTTATTTACCTCATTGTTAGACGAATAAAAATATATTGTATTTAATGGATTTATTTTGGTAAACTTTGATCTTTATGAAAAGGCTGATTTTGTTTTTCATAAGTAATTTTACGTTTTCTTTTGTTAACCAAAGATAATTTTTAGTTTATTTAATGATACCAAAGTACGCGGTTTAATGCGTTGGGTGTTGTACTTTAATTAATTTGAATTAGCAATAATGTTATAATAATTACTTATAACTAAAGTTTATGTTTAAGTTGCGATGTTGTTTTGTGCCGGGGAATAATCTAGTCGATTCTAAGACGAGGAACTTGTGCAAAGTTTTATCTAAACAAAGGCGATTCGTGTCGGCTACAATATCTCTGTTCCTTCCACAATATTACTATCTTTTATCTTTTTGAACTACTTTTCTTTTTAATCATTTCTTTATATTTCTTAATGAAATGCAAAAGATGATAGTTGTTTTTTTAATTAGTTCCAAGCTTTCTGTTTGTAGAACATCAATGTGATATGAATTTTTAATTAAAACACATTAAAGTGTTTGGTGCCTACTGGAGAGTTCGTAGACCGTTAAAGTCAACAAAGTATCGACCGGGAACCAAACCTGCTACCAACCTTATAGTATGTGTGTTATGTTTGCACAACTACTCAGTACCCAAGTAAACATTATGCCCTTAACCACAGTACAAAGATACCAAATTATTCCGCTCAAAATTGAACTTTGTTACAACTGTATAAGGTACACAGGAATTACAATTGTTTAAAGCACTTGTTAGTGTTCGTTACCTGAAATATAAACCTAATCATCAGTAAAATAAAGTGTAATTTAAGATTTTAACATGTTTTATCTCTTGCATCTAAGAAAATAATCAAAAATGGACTTTATTCAATAGAAATTAAGTTGGAAATGACTTGAAATTGTGCTTATACTTCAACTGGTTGTTGTACTTTAAATGTACTAACATTACGAACCAACCGTTAATGCTTGTAAGTTATTTAAAACGCCAACTTCTCGAATATCTATGTAAATTTGTTTCTTGATATGCGAACAAAAAATATTGACCAAAGAAATGTAATATACCAGTTCTTTTGGTAACACAAAGTACATATATAGTATATTCAACTAATTTATTATATGAACTTAGAAGTTCAGACTAATCTATTCGTTTTTAGAACACTCTCTGACACTCTGAAGATATACGATTCTGTCCCATTTGCATTTGAAAAGTAAGGGCTTTGACCACTTTATTGATTCCGTTCTCCAATACTAAGAAATTTATTTATGTAAATTTATTTTGCTCGACTTCAACATCATCCAGGCCGTGTCAATCTCCGGTGTTATTTCAATGTTGAGATGAATTATTACCATTTAAATTTTTCAAATCAATTACCTACATAAACAATATTTTTGGGACGTATTTGTGATAAGCATTGCGTAGTGTCGTGGTCCTCAATAATAGTGATATTAAATGCATTTTTTTTTAAATCTATTCAATTTCAATGATTAGTCCGTTTGAACTATTATAAAATTTAAAAAGCTTATCAATCGCGGTATGGTAAATAATAAAACAAATATAAAAACATATTATCTTCATTTATTTACATCGTGATGCAATCTGCACATATCTGAGAAGAAATTCGAAGATATATGTGAAGTCAACCAACCCGCACTTGACCAGCGTGGTTGACTATGGCCTAATCACCCGTAACATAGAGTAGGCTCTGAGCCCCTGGGTAGGGACGTATAGTGAGCTGATGAAGTATTTCGATAGTGGATGGTTACACAGATTTACATTGGTTAGACAAAATTCAAGTACAAACTTGCATTGTTATTGCAAATAGATAGTAAATATGAAAATACTCAGCAAAATTTTTGTTCAAACATTTACTTACTAATATTGACACGCTGTGTACATAGCCTTTGTAATTATTTTCTATCTATCTTATGGTGTTTGCTGAAGTTAACTTCGTAATTTTAAATTGTTTGGCTTAATATGTTGCTGGGTGGTCTCTCGGCGTTATGATTTCTTTTTATTTTTAACTAGCTACCGACTGCTACTCCGTCCGCACGGAATTAAAATAAACTTAATTCGTGGCCTATGTGTTCTTCCAGATCTACATCTATGGCATATTTCAACGAGATCCGTTCAGCTGTTCTGGAGATACCTTCTATCAATTCGCATTTATAATATTAGTAAGATTGTATTTTCTTTTCTTTCCAGGTCTCGATAATCGGATATCCAACTCGAGAAGTTCTGTGTCGCCGTAAGTATTTTTTATCAGTTTTAACTGAAACCAAGAATCAACATTAAATTTGAATTTAATGTAGTTACTGAATTAATGGTTACTATAAAATCTTGCAATGTTTTTTTATTTGTTTTTCAGTCAGCATGTAAACGCGCGTGGCTGTAGCGAGGTGGTGAACAAGGACCTCGGGCTGTCGGAGAGCGATGACGAGGTCGCCGTCACCACCGCGAGGCTCGGACCGTAAGTTCACATATTTATTAAAAAATTCAATTTTAAAAATCTTTATAGGCTTTTTAATGTCGTAGCGTGCATACCTAATACAACATAATTCACTCCCATAACAAAGACGAGTAAGTAGAGACAACGGACCTCCATTTGGCGTGGTCCTGACACACCTGTCTCGATTCTTCTACATTCATACATCTGCATACATGCAATTAACAATATTGATAATTTGGATGTTAACTGTTAAAAGAATTTCTAACCGATTCTTTGGTCTTAAGATCTAGTCTGTTCAATGTAATCATGTGAATGGATTGAAGTTGGCGTTAGTCTTATGTTTTTGTACACGTATAGTATTACCCAGGGTAATATTGATAATTATTTAAGGTTCAATGTTAGTTTATAATGAGTCATTATAAAGCCATAAAGGTGTTAATTGCTTGTCGGCACGGCCACGTGCCTAGTAGCACGTGCGCACTGCGAGTCGTAATCACCTCAGCGAATATTGTTCTTTATGGCCGTATTTATCGCGCCACGTGTTCCGAGCTATTGAAACACATTTTGTATTGGAATCAATGCTTTAATCGGTTAATGATAACACGTAATAGCTACTGTTATGTAATAGATTTTGTACATAGTACATGCATTTTTTCTATATATGTGCGTAGTTTTTAGAGTGTTTTAAAGATTATTGATGATTGGTGTAATTTTCTTTATACTTTCATTCTAATGTTTTTAAATGTAGTAAACCAATTTTAAAGTAATTCGTATCGTTTTCGACCACAATGTTGAACTCTAATCGATACGTCTTCTTATATGTAAAAGGGCTCATGTTTATCTGGTCCTAACAAAATCAATGATTCACTAGACTGAAATAGTATTCACCAGTAAGGAAAATTCCATGTCTAGACAGCGGTATTTGTTTTCAGGGTTGACTCACCCCAAATTAATTGCGTTTCTCCAAATGTATGCTACTGTATTGTTTTAATTACTTTTGAAGGAATAAACGTATTATTGTCAAGACAGTATAGTCGAACCTGGATGAGGGAGAAACATCTATAAGCTCATGTCATTTTCCGGTCTCCACGCGTCAGTCGTCACCTCCATAAGCGAGAAAAATCTTGAAGTGAGACAAATATCCCGGTCCTTTAGACTCTAGTTTATCTAGGTTCGACCTTTGTATTATCAAAACAAGTTAGCTACTGAAAGCTCTCCCTTGTTTCCTTCGGTAGAGGCTCCATTCCAAGAAACGACTGATTTTTAAGATCTCGGATATGTTATCTGCTTGAACTATAACTCAATACTCGTTGGATATTTCGACTTTGAGTCCTTTAAGAATAGAACTTATTTTTTCTTAGAGGTCAGTTTTGTAGCTACAGTTCAGATGTTTATGGGCATTAGCTATTGAACGTTTGTATTTTTGTCCTATAAGAAAACGAACACAATTACCACTTGGTTAAGTTATAATTATGTTAATTTTAATTGCAGTATCATATCCCCAATCGGCTCTGGCGGCAGTCCCAGTAGTGGTAGCGAATCCTCCCCGTCCGATTCGGAGTCAGAGTCGTCCTCTAGTGAGTCAACAGCGGCGAGCACGGCCGCTCCCGCCGCGCAGCCCGCAGCAGAGCGCCCCTCCTGGAGCCTCAGCAACTTCGCGCCCCCCTCACAGCACCCGCCGCAGCACTACGACGCCGGCAAGGACCTCCGGCACGCCCTCGAAGATGTCAAAGGCAAACCGGTAAGTTTTATATACAAAATATATTTGCGACAAGATAGCTGTATTATGTTTTATTGCCATATGTTAACATACTTTATTGTGCACTCAACAGAGTCCAATTTCGGAGTTGTCGGACTCTGAGACGTCGTCGCCTTCGCCCGGCGCGTCGCGACGCCGGCGCTCGCTCGCCAACAGAGTGTCCGCCGCCTCCAGCGACGAGGACACCCCGCGCTCCCACAATATCGTCAGTTTGCAAACTTACAGATTAATTTTATCCATTTGCTTCATTTACTACGTGACTTGTTCTCTGTTAACAGGCTTCTCCCCTGAACTCGGCGCCCACGAACGCCCCGGTGAAGCGAGGCCGGCCGCCTAAACCTCGCACGTCCGAGGAGAGGCCCATCAAGAAGAAGCGCGGCCGACCTCCCAAACGGCAAGCCTCCCCCGCAGCACGAGACAGCGACCCCGAACCTGACCCGCCCCCGCACCACGCACTGCACGACCCCAAGACACAGATCTTCCGAAAGGTAACATTATGATTGAATTACAGATATCAGTTTAAATACTATGTTCAAATAAGGTGTTGATTTTACGTAAAAATATAACTTCCAGGTATTCACAACGAAAAAGGGCGATGAATGCGGAGGAAAGGGAGGCAAAGGCGGCAAAGGGAAGGGCGGCAAGGGCAAGGGTCAGGTGACGATCATCGAAGTGACGGCGCCGGAGTCCGGGGCGGACGACGATGAGCGCAGGCACCGCGAGCGATCCAACGAGAGGAGGAACGAGGAGGCCATCGCCAGGGTTTCACCGCCGCAGGAACCCGAGACCTTGACCAGGAGGAGGGAGGCGGAGAGAATAGCAAACGAGAGAATACAGGAGCGCATGTCCATCGAGCGGCCCGACCACAGGCGTTCCGCCGACAGACTTCCCGATCGACCGACAGATAGGACGTCGAACGATCGAATACCCAACGATCGGCTCCAACCGGAGCGGACGTCGACCGATAGGTTTCAAAACGATCGATCCAGTGATCGATTACAACCGGACCGAATATCGGATCGATTACCCGATCGAACCGTCAGCGATCGCTTCCCGACCGATCGAGGACCTTCAGATCGAATTTCAAACGATAGAAGTTCGGACAGAATGGCCACCGATCGGTTACAAATGGAAAGGATACCAACGGACAGGATGCCGGGCGATCGGATAGCGTCGGACCGGTTGTCCTCCGACAGAATGTCGAATAACGATCGGTTATCGAACGACAGATTGACGGTCGGTCGGACGCCCAACGAGCGTCGGTCATCGGAACGAATGTCGAACGAGAGACTATCGAGCGAAAAGATGTCGATCGATCGTCTCTCGGGCGACAAGCTGGAGCGATTGTCGAGCGAGAAGCTGTCGCACGAGCGGTTGTCCGGCGACAAGTTACCCATGGAGCGCCTGTCGGGCGACAAGACGTCGCTGGAGCGGCTGCCGAACGACAAGCTGACCTTGGAGCGCTTCGTGTACGCGGAGGCGGACGTCGGCTCCGGTCTGAAGCCGGGCCGCGGCTCCGAGAGGATGGAGGAAGCATCGTCCAACGGTCAGTACTCTACTATAGTAGTCATATTGTTGTATGAAGTATGTATGTAACGTGCGAGGTGTGTTGTGTGCAGTGAGCGAGCGGCGCGTGCGCGGGCGCGTGCTGGTGCGCGTGCCGCTGTGCCGGCTGCACGCGGACACAGTGCGGCTGCTGCGAGCCCCGCCCCGCCGCGCGCCCCCGCCCCGCCCCGCCACGCCCCCCACACCGCCCACTGACCAGGTACTGTACCATACTATTCACAAGCGTAACCACTAACACAAGGTCTATTGGAGTTTGGAGTTATTTCTCATTGTAACGCGTTATCACCGTGTCCTGCAGGGTGTGGAGACGGCGTGCGTGTCGCAGGAGCGCGCGGCGGTGGGACAAACGCCCATTTACTACTCGTACTTCGAGCGCCTGCCTGCTGACGCGCTCTCCGACGAGGAGCGGGACCACAAGTATGTACACACATACATAGGCTACATTTATTACTATATTTTTTGTTTAATTCCGCGCAAACGAAGTCGAAGGCGATGATTATATTGTATAGTTCTATGAAATAACCAGTTATCATTCAACGCAACGATCGTATGGCATTTCTAAAAATTTGGGGTATGCAACACTATTATAGACCACTCGTTCGTATATCCAATCCGTAGTAACACTAATTCGATTAAAGTTAAAGATTTAAAATGTAAAACATTCGCAGGTACTACTTAAGTGAGGCGGCTCGGCTGAGATCTGCAGCTGAGCGGGAACAGGAGCCGCTAGCTCGAGTGATGCTGTATCTGGAGTCAGTGCTATGTTTCGTGCTGACGGGGCGAGTGTTGGAGCTGGAGTTGGATACAAAGCGCGCCTTCACAGTGTACAGAGAGACCATCGCGTACATCAAGTCCATACAATCGATGCCGCAGAGGTTTAGAGCGTCGCCACACTCCACGCTCAGTTCACCTTTCAGTAAATTAGATATTTTAAGGTTAGTCTCTTATTATTTTCTTAAATTTTATATCGATTTTTTTTAAGGAAAAAAAAAGGTTTTTTTGTATTATTCGTTCTGTTTTATGTAAGCCTGATACAATTTTATTGATGGTGGTTTTTTTTTCTTTTGCAGTCTCCGTGTCCAAGCTTTACTTTACTTACGAATGTTCAAGCTGTACAATAGAGAAGTAAAGGAGTATTATAAAATTGTTCAGGAATATCAGCAAAAGGTTTGTTTAATATATAAATATATATTAATGCGAGAGGTTAAAAAAACATGTTAGGTTTCCGAAAGACAAAATTCATTTGTTAAACAGAAAATGAGATTGAACAGAATTTATGTACAACAATAACAACATAATCCCATAACCCTGCGAGGTAGGCAGAGACCGCGCTCCTCCATTTATCTTAATTTTTAAAATCGCGGAGCAACAAAATACGCGTGCGCATCTCTGAGTGACCGAACATCGACCCATATCTACCCTACTAACCCTAAAAAGAACTCGTAAAGTAGTGAGGTGATGATGATGATGGTGATGTGTACAGCCGGCGTGCGCGGAGTCAGTGTCGCCGCTGTCGCCGACGCCGTCGCCCGCGGGCTCGGTGGGGTCTGTGGGCTCGGCCGCGTCCGCCTCCTCCGGGTACTGCTCGCTGGCGCACTCGGTGCCGGCGCACGCGCACCACGCGCTGCTGCAGCTCACCAAGTACTACACCTTCCTCTACGTCGCACACGACCTCTGGGAGCAGGCCGACGGCCTCTGCAGGCTCAGGCCTAACCAAGGTTTGTGCTTTTTGAAAAATTATTTTTTTGTTGGATAGTACATTTATAGAGGAAGGCTTTAGGCTATATAAAATAACGTTGCGACCAATTGTTTTTTTTATTCCACGAAGACGGAGTCGCGGGTGACAACTAGTTTTTAATAATTTAGTGATATTCATAGATTACAACACTCCAAATTGAAAGAGCAAATGTGGTTTATTCTATGGATTTGATTGGCCCAATGAAAATTCACGTAATATTGTCCACTTACTGCCTTCGATGCGACGCAAAGTGAGTCTTTATTTTATCTTTATTCCAAAAATGTTAGATGTTAACGTATAATAATTGTTTTCCAGATCTGTTCATAGCGGTGGATCGCAAGTGCGGACCTCTGACGTTGTTCTCGACGTTCCGTCATCTAGTGCAGTACGTGCGCTACGCCATCTCCCTGCTGAAGAACGCGCCGCGTGAGTGACGCCGCGCGCGCTGTACATCGCGCCCTCGGCACGCAGCGCGCGCGCACCGCCCGCACTGACCCGCACTCACCACGCAATGGACGATGTGCCGTGGTACGTGACGTTAAATATTTTGTATCACCATTTATATTATCTTTGCAAGCGACTCTTTTATTTTTTATTATCACAATTTTGTCATATCATAAGAACATTTTTTTTTAAATTTTGTAGTAATTGTATTTGTCAAGTTTGTATGAAGATAATATAAATAGTAAAATGTGCCGCATTTTATTGTGAACTTTATTTACGGGTTTATATAAATGGTGTATAAAAGTTGTAAAACTGATGTTACCCATTTTACACAATGTATTTCCCGTGTACAATAACATGTTTGTAAAATTGTGTACATTTACACGGTGTATTTTAAATGAAAAAGAAATTTGAACAGTGTATTGCAAATAATATTTAGATTTAACAAACCAAATGTGGGTTTTATAAATTCGATGTTTCGAATTAAATTATGACCGTACACGGTTTGAGAATTATTTTAAAAAATGCAATTTATGTGATATTCATTTAATTTTTATTTATTTATTTATTTAATTCCTGATACATCACAATTATTACAATCACAATATTTTATCTATAATTTTTTTTTTATACCTTTCCATATTAAATGTATTAAACCGAATAATATTGTTGGTTTGTTCGCGCTAATTTTATAAACTATAAATCGAAGTAAAATAAGTTTTATTTTATTTTACAGTCCAATTATTAAGGAAGCTTTTAAGATATTTACCATCACGCTATCTCTTTTATAGGTCGAGCAGAAAGGAAAAGAAATACTCAAACCGTGTACATATTATAAAGTTCTGACCAGAAAAATAAATAACCTAAGATAGCTTTAGAATTTTATTTGGCAACTAAATTATAGACAGGATTTTTTTTTCTTTTATTTGGTATTGTTTAGGTTAATATTTTGTATTATTGAAAAATTCAGATTGAAAATCTTAGTTCTAAAATGAATGTTTCAGAGTTGCCAACATAAAAATGTCCATTTGTCGTCGAAAGTTTTTTATCTTCCTGGTCAGAGTGTATCTACCCTGCCCTGACATGGTAACACCAACGTTTACAAATATGTTTACACTTAAGTTGCATAAAGGTTTTAACATTTTGATGATATTAATGTTATAGAGGGTTTATTGTTTGGTATAGATGCGATTTTTGTGTAAAAAAAATATATTTTTGAATATTTTTATACATTTGTGTTGTTGCGTAGCTTTCAAATTTTCCCAAATGGAATGTTTGTTGGGATTTTGGTATAGAGAATAGATTTGATCTTTGAAACGGAACATAGATTTCAATGGAGTGGATTGTATTCGATTGCATTTAAAGTATTGTGAAAAGACATTGGGCCGTTTTGTATGTAAATAAATTTGGGAAAATTTATAATACGATGTGTAATGTGGTCATATAGTCGACTTTGCAACAAGCATTCACAAATAAATTTAAGCGAACCTTATATGTATGACCTTATTGGTCGTTGTAATAAAAGCAAAGAAAACAGCAATAATAATTTAAAGAAAAAAAAAAAGATATATTTGTGAACGATTGTCGAAGTATTTTTTAAATCTTGTAATACTTTTTAAAATGAAAATTACCTCGGGATTTAAAAAAACGTGTTATTTAAGGTTTAAAAATCGATCCAGTAGGTAACAAAAGGAGGTTTTTAAAATACTTATAATTAAGGTGAATGTACTAGTTATTGGACATAGCGCGCTTGGTTTTTATCTTAAATCAATCGAAATTGTTCATTGATTTATTCCAAATGTATTAATATAAGTATTACATTGAACAATGATACAGTGAGATATAACAATCTCATTTTCTACGTTCTCTTCTCCAAAACGTTGACCAAAAAAAAAAAACTCATGTAAATTGTAACAAAGTGTAAATAGAAAATATCGCAAAGCGACTCGACTCGGGGCGAACCCATTGTAAAATAAACTAGGCGATAGATTTTTTTATCATATCTTAAGTACGGTTTTTTTTTTGTAGTTACTATCCTACCCTCTATCAATATCGGGATCATATAACGAATTGATTTCGTAAAAAATTAAATATAAATGAGCGCGTGGGCCAATCGAATATATCTCTTTGGGAACACTGTAGACATTTCGCGTTCTGACCGCGAGTTTACATTGCGCAAAACTTGTACAAAAACATTTATCTCTGTTTCTTTCTAAATATAAGAAGGATATTGATATGTTTTTGTACGTGTTTTGACAGTGGAAACTCATGATAACGTTCGCTAGTTTGCTTTCGTACTTTCAAATGAATATTGTGTCCGGAAAGTTTTAGTTAAATTTAATTTGTATTACAAAACTTACGAGTCTAGTTTTTGTGTTAAATTTTTTAAGGCGAATTCAACCGCTTTTCGTATTTTTCTTCGTTAACTTATTGAATAAACAACTTATGAACGCGAAAAACTGCCTCCCGAACCGTATAACAAAAAAATACCTTTTAGTAAAATATTAAATAAAATATCGTGAAAGTTTAAAATGGAAATGAAAGTTTATAGATTCATAAAATCAGAGAGATTTGAAAGTTTAAAACTAATTTGCAGCAAACATAATTTTTCTTTCAATGTTATGTTTCGGCACTCGGCCGTACGTAGAATACGCATGTTCCTAACATTTGTATAATGGTCGTAGAACAATGTTAACGATCAAACAATACGTCAAACATGTTTTTATTATACATATCAGCAGTGGTATTTTCAGAGTGAGTCTAAATAGAAGGTAAACGACTTTCACAAAGAAAAACCTCTTGTTTCTTTTAAAAAAACAAATAATTCGAGTGACAATAATATTATTTTTAGGATGATGCTAGATTTCTTTTCTTAGCCGTGTTAGCGAAATTCGATCGAAATAACTTATTCGCATCGAGTGTTAGACGTTTTCAGTATAACCAGAATTGCAAATAAAACCGCAACACCAACTTATCTCGGTTGTTTATCAAATTTACGTTGTGATTGTAAATATATAATATACATTTTCTAATGAATATACATATTATAGTGCCAGACAGGTTTTTGTATGAAAGTTTATAAGCGAGGCTGCATTGAATGGGTCGTTGGTGAGATGATGTTAGGTTTACGCGTAAATTTGAGGGAGTTCAGTCGGGGCGCGGACTGTGACGCTGTTCCTCAGAAATACAATGTTTGAAAGATGCCTTGTACATATTAAATTGTAAGAAATGTGTAATTTTCACTCTAATATTTTAATTTATATGTAAACTATAAAGTTAAGAGGACAAGATGTAATAGTATGAGTGTCGAGTCGTGTCAGTGTGTGAATGTGCGCGATGTTGCGCGCGACCAAACTTAATATCAACACATCTGACGAAAAGAGTCACATCTCTTATGTAATGTAACTCTTTTCGTCAGATGCGTCGATATGTTAGTGCGGGTGTTCTTAATAGAGCTTGCAGCGTTCAGTTGTTAGTAGGGATGATCGATATTTAAATATCATGATATTCAATTCGATCAAAAGCTAACGTATCAAATTGATTTATATAGTTTTCATTGGTCTTATTGTTTGATGTTTATCGCATTGATATATCGATCATTCCTAGTTGTTAATAATGATGCCCCTCGGGCCCGCATTACCCCAAGCTAGTTACCTACGTTAGTTCGAGCGAGATGGCTTTCGACTTATATTTACCCACATAAAGGTAACCTCCATCACAATTACTTTGATACGGTACTTACGATTCGCACAAATATTTTAATATTTGATAATTAATTATATGGCGACGGCGTGTACGCGCGGAATTTACTTAAAGGCTTTTCAATTGGTATTTCTGTTCATCACACGAAAAGAGTTAGATCTCATAAGAGTCGTAACTTTATTCGTCAGATGGTCCAATTTTTAAAACATCCCGCTAAATGTTGATTCTATATCCAACATGGCGGTTGTTTTATAAATGCTAATAATTTTTTCGTTATATTTTATTTTTAATTTCGGCATGTTAATTTATTGTAATTTTGGCTTAATTTATTATTTTTTTTTTAAAATTAAATTTAACATCACAAAAAACTCGCATGCATGTACTTCGGTTATTTATCATTTTGTTATCGTTCTTAGTTTTTAATTTTGCGTTGTCAATATAATTATTGTTTTGTTGTCTAAGGCTCTTTTACACAAGGTTACGTAAATTATTGAAACATGGCGATTTTATTCGTTAAGCAATACGCAATGTACGCCAACATTGTGTTCTTTAATCGCCAAAATCACTCACAATCTCTTTGTTAAGTTTGAGAGTTTGTGAGACAAAGTTGCTGCAATTTTCAAAATGGCGGAGCGAATCTATACAGTTTTCATGTTGCTAAGTCTGTACTGGTTGAATAGATATTAGTTTCGAAGATTTACGTTGCCTTGTGTACGAAGGGGTGTTAAATTACGGCTGAGCGATGCATTCGCTATGTTACTTGTGAGATATCCTTGACAATGCTAAGTGACCTTGTATCGCAATATGAACAGTGTTTGTCGGAGTGTTTGTGTGTTGCCATTTCTAACGTCAATTAAGTGCCGAATGACGGTGGTAGTTCACCACCGCTTGCAATCTGACGGGCCTCGGATCGAAGCCTTAATCTCAATTATTTAAAAGTTCCCTAAATCGAGGCCAAACGTTTTTTTTTTAAATCGACAAATAATTTTAAGACAATGAACAATGAGCGCTGGTCGGCGGAACGATTGGAGATTGTTTTTTAGGAAATTGTAAAAAAAAAATTACTGTTTTCTTTTTTTTAAGTAGAATCTTGTGTTGATAGTATGTATAATTTGTTTTTTTTTTATTATATTCGCGTTAAGAAATATGTATAAATTTTGTTTTCATCTAATTTTATTATTTGTGTAACTATATCCTACGTTATTGATAATAGAATACATTAATTTTTATGTATGGAAAATTTTTGGTTGTTTATTTTCCTTATTTTCCTTTTTTTTCGTTTTGTTTTTTTTTTTTTAACAGTGAGTCGTCAATTGGAGGTTATTTGTGACAAACGTAATCTGACGTAGTGCTTTATAAATTAGTAATAAATAAAATCAATTGCCTTAAGTCAATTTGCAGTTTTTAAAATTTAAAAGGGATGTTCATCGAATTCATTTTTCTTCTAAATTCATCGCGCATTCTCATAAACAACTTGTATGTGGTCGTTCAAATGTTTATAGTTAAATAAACCTTAACCAATGGTAAGTTAAAAAGTATCCAAACCCATCGGAATTAGGCAAAGAATGGTCCTTTTATAAAAAAAAAACTAGCGAATCTTTACTTCCTCGCTTATTATTAATTCCTATCAAAACCCCCTGTACAAAAACATTGTTATCTTTATTTTTTCAAAGAGAATGAAAGGGATGGCAGTTTATTTTTGTACATGTGGAAATTAGCGGGTGTGTGCTTTTGTACTTTAACAATTCGTCACCTAAGGATCATCCTGTAGTTGCAATTGCAAGTCGAAAGAAACATTAATATAGGTGACGTGCGTGAGCACTTTACACGCTTTTTGTATACGATAGTTAGGTATATAAGATATATAAACACAGCAATACATAGTAATAATGTAAACAAGTGGCGAGCTAAGATTCACATATTAATGTAAAATAAATTTTCAAAATTAAATTACAAATTTTGATTAGTTTATATGAGATTTTGTAGATTGAAAAGAATTAATATTTGATAAAAAATTACGCATTTAAAAATTCATAGTTATTTGGATCAAAAATTATTTATCGTGGATTTCTGAGACCAAATTTAAAACATTGCTATCTCTGTATTTTCAAAGATGATTTATAAAGAGAATTTGGTGTTAGAAACCCACAGTTATTAAACAAGAAAAATTTTTGCGGAGCCAAGTGTGGTTTCTACACTTTCGATATAACTATATCCTAAGCTCGCCACGTCTAAGCGCCTCAATAACAATATTCTAAATGAAAGCCAAAGATGTCTATACATTTACATAAATGTTATATCGATGTTAAAATATGTATTTTGAGGTTAACTTTAATATATATTTAATAATAAACAAGCAAATAACAAAGTGCAGCCTTCAGTAGAAATTTAGTGATAATTATAAGCTGCTAATGGCCGTTTTCACTAAAAAAATGTTTAACACGTTAGCTGCCATGACGGCCAATATGTCCGACAAGCCAATATTTCAATCAGGCCGTGTCGGACTATGTGTCCGACAAGCCATACTTCCATTCAACACCTCGCTGTGGCTTGTCGGACGCTTTTTAATAGAATTGTTGTATACAGCGTGACCCGCGAGGCCACATTGAAATGGTATTGGACAAAATATTTAAAAAAAAATCGTTTTTCGAAAAATAATTCTGGCAGCTAACATGTTAACATTTGAAAACATGTTTGGGTGCAAACACAAAGTATTCCTAAACAATTAACTCTTTTATACGAGTTTCGATATTTATCTTAAGTGATGAACTTAGTGAAAACGGACATTTGATCGAAATGCCTTGTTCTATGTAAATGCAATAAATATAAGACGCGGCTTGTTCGGTCGTCGGTTAATTTGCTAGGGGTAAGTAGTGCTCGACTTACAACTCAAGAGGGGAATTGACTTTGTTTATTTTATAGTTAAAATAAAGTTCAAAGTGGAAACTTAAATTGTGCCTTAGTGAGAACTGGATAGCCTCCAATTTGGTTTGGACGTTGTTTGTGAATCGGTTACGATGTGCGATTGTATGATATTAAGTCCGTGTTTAAGTTACATCTCCGAGCACTGTACAACAAACAGCACTTGTACAGATCTTAAAACTGAGAACCTCTTTCAGTTGTAGAAATAAAACAATCGCAATAATGTTTTTACATATTTTGTTTTGTCGAATGTTGTAACTGATTATATTTACATTAAAATATATATATATATATATAAGTAGAACGGTATGTTTATGTCGTAGCAATAAATTAAGCGTGGCAATAAGGTCTAGTGAAGTCGCTTTTGTGTCTTTAACTGTATTATTAAGATAACAAACCCCTACGTCCCCAATAGTCGACCCGCTGTACACTGCTTCACAAAAATAACTACTAAGTTCAAATTCTTGATGTTTTTTCAATTACATTTTATTATATCACAAGTAAAAGTAGAAAGAATAATATAAGTATTTAATATTTCTTTAGTGAAACTTCTGTAATTGTTTTTTTTTTCAAATTTCGCGCTTATCTTCCTAAAAAGCCTTTTCGTTGTTTTATTTTAACTAAATCTCGTCTTTTCACAAATTATTTAGCGTAAGACAAAGTGCCAAGATATCATTTCCTAAGTGCAATTCCTTTTCAATTCCTGTACCTCGACTTTGATCCAAACTGCTTAAGTCTCGCTTAGCCAAAAACAATTTATCAATTTATCGGGATACTTGTAGTATTTAAAATTGTAATTATTAAAAAAAAATACTAATTTCTGTTAAATATCGTAAATATTAATTTAGTTTAACAATACTTAACAATTTAAAACAATAATTATTATAAATATTATAATTTTGCAAATACTAAAAGTATTCCGAGAACAAAAGTGAGAGTATATTGTAAATTAGTGAAAGGCATAATGTAATTGCTAATATAAACAATATTCTAAATTATGTTTTGTAGTAAATGTTTTTACTCTTGTGGATAGTAGGTAGGGGAGGGGAGCCGGCAGGGGAGGGGAGGAGGGGAGGAGCCGGCCGTTTCTTTTATAACAAGTAGCGAGTGTACTAAGTAAGAGACAAACTAATTATAGTATAAAATTGTTTACCAATCGCCCGCACTCCGGGCGCTAGACGAAAATATTATTTTTCTTAGAACACATTATATTGTAATAAAGAGTAAAGTATAGAGGTATGCGCGGGGCGGGGCGGGGCGG